CGTTTAAAAGCTCTTTGAAATTAAAAAAAAACAGACTATAAGGAAAGCGCCCGCAGGCAAACAGCTACTTCCGTTTGGCTCAATGGAAAGGGAACGCAGTTGGTTGGAATAGTTATTGCCCTATCTAGCTCCAAGTGTATGAGCCGCACGTAACAATTTAAAATGTAAACACCCCATTGAGCAGAAGTGGAGTCATTCAGCAATGGGGCATTATTCAAAGTGGTCCAAGAAGCCAGCGTTAGAAACAACTGCTTTGCGAAGCTATAAGACGCGTCATCCTTTTGGTATGTTTCATTATTATACCATAATTGATTATTTAGATCCCACTGTGTGCGGTTTGCAAATTCAAAATTATGGTAAAGAAATTTCCTGGAATTGTTGGACCAATAGTAGGGATTGACTTCTCCCTAACATTTGTAAGGCTGCATAAGATCTGTATTGAGCTTATAGTGAACATGAGCTTTAAATGTTAGATTCTGTAAAGCTAGTGCTAACCAGGGAAAAAATGCGCCAACAGTATTCTATTCACAACTCTTCTACATAATGACTAGTATTCTCGGTAAGAATCAAGAGTAATCCAAAAATATTTTCCAAGAATTAGAAAGAAAGGAACACATGATATGCAACATGTGGCATAAAGTCTGGTGACTCCTTTTGTGCATCGTGACAATTGTTTAGTCCTTAGGATGCGTTGTCTACCTTTTCTACACAATAGCTGGGAGAAACAAAGAGGTCATTTTGGACTACATTTTTTGATAGTCGTAAAACTTGTTTAACTTCTCTGCATATTTAATTTTGCTTAGATTTTGTAACCAATTTCTTTTGAAAAGAACCATTTCTCAAGTTGAGATGCTGCCAGAATTTTTAAAGAAATGGCAAGGAGAGCGTAGTTTGTCAAAAGAAGAATGACTGCAGTTTGAGTTGCCTCAATGGAAAGAGAGGAGGAATAGCTAAGAATGGAAGGACACTAAGCGTTAGCAGGTGGAACCAAAGCTGTCTCCGTTGGAGGAGAAAAACGCCGCAAATCCATAACTGAGCATAATTGCTGTCCGTTCGATAACCATTGGCGCAAATGTGTCGGTCGGCTTGCCAACTGAAGTAAACTTTCGGCTATATTCTCGAAACAGATCTATAACCTATGTCTAAATCGTTCCGACAAGAAGTATGATTTCTTATTTTAGAAGGATTAGAAGCATTATCGAAAACACCGAACGAAGGCGCATCTAGGACCAGTAACGGGACACGGTCTCAGCAAACAAAACAAAATAACACGTTAGTTGATTTATTTGCCCTACAGAACACTTATAATTTCATACCTTGTTTTTACAGTGATAACCCTACAAAAGGCAAAAAGACAAAAACTAAGGAAAAGAAAAAAGAAGAGAAACCGGCTACAGTGAAAACCGCGGAGCCACAGTCTCGTACACCAATCATGGGTAGGGCTCAGAGATCGCCTTCTGTGATGAAAGCAGCAGAAGTTGCTCAGATCCCTCATGTGCCAATTATTCTGTTCATCGGTAAGTTTTACCTTTACAACTACTTTTCACCTTCAAAAATGGAATGAAGCTATGCCTTTATTATAGGTGGACCTGGAGGGGGTAAAACACGCCATGCCGCTCGAGTCGCCAATGCATTAGCTGATCAGGGTCTCATCCATATTTGCATGCCAGATATTATAAGGTTTGGCATTTTATCGTTCAAATAAGTTAGATCACTGTTTCAGATAACATTACTAAAATTTCAATTAAATAGTCTGCATTGAATAAGTAATCATTGTCATACATGATCTTCTAGCTTGGAAATTACACATTTAATTCAAAAATTGAGTATCTTGCTTATAGATACATACCTTCAATTGCAATCCCACTCTCTGGCGTTTTCCTCCTCCTAAATCATATAGTTTAAAAGTTCTGTCAAATTTCTGATGTTGTTCCAAATGCACAAAATGACTACATTCTGAGATCCGAAGTTTAGCTATAAACGGAATTATGTTTTTTTTTTGCAATGGTGATTGACTGCAACACTCGCTAGTTTTGACAATTTTACTGAAAAGTTAAATTAGTAATTGCTAAGAAAAAAATTGCATTTTTGCTTAGGACCGCGAGGACTTTATTTTATAACGTTTTGCTTCATTCTCTTCCTGGGCGTCAAACGATTTTTTTTTTCAGAGCAGCGCTTGCAAAGTACAAGGACCACTATTCAGAATGGAAGACTGCTAACGACCACTACCTAAGAGGTTCAGTTTTTCATAAAATAAATTCCACTTAATATATTGGCAGCTTTTACAATTTGATCTTTTGTATGAATTCCAAATATTTTTTTTTTGGTAGAAAAGAATCACTTTCGTACAGATGTTTCCTACAGAATTTGTATTTCATGCATGACTCGCACACTTCATATAAACTTTTCTTTTTCAACAATCAATTCAAGAGTGGCACCTTAAACAACCTTTTCTAAACACTTTAACATCTAAATAGTGACAATGTTAGACTTGATATTTGCACACATGATTAAGGCGAACTGATTCCAAACCATCTGGCATTGGCACTAGTAAAAGCCGAAATGGGACGTCATCCAGAAGCGGCCGCATTTTTCCTGGAAGGCTTCCCAAGAGAAGCTCGACAAGTCGAGGATTTCGAAAGAGAGGTTTGTGAAGTGGTCGAATTAAGATCTAAATGTCATATACTCTCAAGTCATACTTACTCAACATTTTTTTTTTGTATTTTTGGAAGCTTCCAGATAAAATTAATTTCCAACACTGATGATTTTACAAATACTTCACGACAAAAGCTAATCTTTCCAACGATAGATCCTTCAACATCTTTCTTCAAATTAAAAGATCAGACCTGGATTATCGTTGAAAAAATATGAAAAAGCACAAATAAGTTTGTGAAAAATCTCATAGCGAACATTCTAATCTAACATTTTATCTCAAAAGAGACAAATGAAAGCAACTATCGTGCTAATCTGCTTCTAATACTATTTCCCTTCCTTACTGTATCCATGATTGGACAATGGTACGATAGTCATGGCGCCTGTTATTACGCAAAGCTTCTAGGTGAAATCTGTGAACATGGCTCTAATCCTTGACTATGATGAGAAGACACTAAGGGAACACATGGAAAAAAGAGGACTGGGTATGGAAATCATCGATCAGCGGATAAAGGTAATTTTAATGAAAATTGGACCGTTAGCTTAACACGACACACACTTCCTAGTTTCTTTATATAAGGTATGTAAATTAAGTTGGAAATACATGAATAATGCTTGCGAAAAAATCTAAAGCTGATTTCCCCTTGGCCCTATTCTCAAAGATAATTCTATCGTTTTAGGAGTTCAAGCAGAAGACTCTTCCATCTGCAAAGTATTTTGACGATCAACACTTACTTCATTTGGTGCGTTCATTTAATTCTACAACTTTGGAGAACAGTTTTATTAAATAAAACAGAAAATGGAAATCAACAATTATGAGCAAAACCTATCATTGTGAAAGCTAGGCAAATTAGAAAGTTGTTTATGCCTGTCAGTTCAAGATGGGAGGCGTGATACAAGATGACTGCCCATAGCCAAATGGACATCTGCCAAACAGCATGCAATCCTCTAAACAAATTTCGACCTTGAATAAAGAATTTTTTAAAGATTCCTGGAGAGAAAGACGACCATACTATATTTGAAAGGATGAGGGATCTCGTTATCAAAGCAATGAGCACTGGCGTACCTATTCTCAATACTCAACCTTCTCCAGTCCCTACTCGAGCAGGAACTGTTGAAACGGTAGGTTGGAACGTTGCCTTTCACCTACTCATCTTAATTAGTCTTTGTAAATGAATTACAAGATGAGAAGTTAAATCATTGTGAATCAAAACATGGTAAAGAATAGTTCAACCACTTACAGATTACCATCACTAAATAGAGTACTACCTTAGAAGGTGCCCTCCACTGACCTAATAGATCTTCTGTCTCAAAATTTTTTTCTGGACGTGAATGGTGAAGATTGAAGAACCAGCTTGAACATCGAGCTACATCAAAAACGGATCATGAATCTTTGCTCGTTACGGTAGGATAGTGGTTTTAGCGGTGACATAAAACATCGACACTAACCCAAAGATTTTTAAAGAGACTGGCAACCGTTTTTGTGTTCTGAAACGTTAAGCCTAAAAATAACATTCATTTAAATCAATGGCAGTGCCAGAGTCACAATAAGGCAAATCCCCGATCCTTCTATAATCGCCAGAGGTATTAGACCTGCTTATGTTTGAAAATTTAGTTTCCAACTTGTTTCCAACAATGTTTCGAAAGTAAGTATTTCTGTTTACCTCCTTGAGAATTTGTTAACTTATGGCAACAAAGAATTTTGATCTGGTATCTTAAAATTTGTGTAAACCTAATTTTAAGAAGAGT